GGGCCCCGGGGGGCCTGGCAGGCGGGTGCCCCCCCTACCCCCAGTCCCAGCAGGACCAGCAGGCAGAGCCCGGGGGGCCGTGCCATGCTGGGGGTCGCCTGGCTGGACTCTGAGCCTCCTCCGGATGGCATGGCGGGAGCAGGCGGGACGGGATGGGATGGGAAGGGATGGGATGGGATGGGATGGGACGGGTCCCCCTGCCTGGCACCTCCTCTCGCTCCGAGGTCCATCTTGTGGAAGCTGCTGGGAACGTCGAAAGCTTCGTGTGCGAGCCTGGGCTGCGGGGTTTTGGCTTCCCCCAGGCCACCCTGGTCCCCAGGCCGTGGGGCTGGGCAGGATGGGGCCCCCACGGTCCGGCCCCAATGCTTCGGGGATGGGGGGATTTGTGCCTTCGGCCACATGGATAGAGCTGAGCTCCTCCATTTCTCAGCCCTGGGGATGAGCTTATGGTGATGCATGCCTCACGTGTGGGTTTTTCCTTAAACTGGTGGGCATCAACACTGTTCTCACAGCCCCAAAATCGAGAGGGGATGGGGGAAAGGTTTTGGGGCAGACCCAGCACCCTCTTCTTCCCTCACTTATGGGGACCCCACTGCTCCCCCACGCACACCAACCTGGCTAGGTCGTGAATCTGTGACAATCCCCAATGCCACCACACCAGCACCCACGAGTGGGGGTCCCATCCCTGCCTGCTGCCATGGGGCAGCTCAGTCCCTTGGACCAGGGTGGGGGCACATCCCTGTGTAGGCATCTCCACGGGGCAACAAAACCAGATCACCACCAGACCTCATTAGCAGCTTCTCAGGTAATGCTAATTATAGTCTGTGCCAGAGGGGATCCCTCTCAGGGCTGTGGCACCCTCCAAATTTGACCCATGGGAACAGGAGGGTGACAGCAAACGGGGAGAGAGGCCGCTTGGCGTGGTGCTGTGCCCCTGGGCAGGCCCTGACCCCCACTCCGCAGGGAGTGTGTTTGCAAAAGCGGGGTGCACGGGGGAACGCTGCCTCTGCCCCCTCCACTGCTCAGCTCAGCTCCCCGCAGGAGCCCTGGAAACTTAGCCCTCATTTATAATTTAAGCTCCCTTCCTCCCCTTCCCTTCTACTCTTATTTATTTTATTCTCCTTCTCCGCACACACTGTGGGGAAGAAGCACCGGAGGGAAGCTGTGAATCAGAGTCTTCGGCAGCGGCTCCCGCAGCAGCGCTGTTTCAAAGCCCCATTACCATATATTGACCCGGGCTCTGACAGCCGGAGCCAGCTCCGCTGGGAAGGGTGAATTTCCCAGCACCGAGGAGCCGTACATCAGCTGCCTGGGAGCGGGCGGCCAGTGGCAAACTCACTGTCAACCTCTGGGGAGAAAGAGAAGGGTTTTCAGCTCAATAATTGCCCTGCGCATCTCCGCCACCAGTTTTAAGGGGATTTGCATCCTGCAGGGATGAGGTGTTCCAGGTGTTCTGCTTTCCCCTTGCTCCTGAGGCTGCAAGCTCTGGGCAGGAGAGGCTTTCCCCTGTCGTGGGTTTACCACCTCCTCCTCGGGATGTTACACACGCCCAGGAGATGATTTCTCTGCCTGACCCCGGGAGGTCCACATTAGAGAGTGCTAATACCATGCAACCAGGGCTCGGTGGCTGCTCGTGGGATGCACAGTGGATTCGAGCAAAGCTGATGAGCATCCCGACCCCACCTCCTCCTCCAGCACAGCTCACCTGGCATGGAGGGATGGCCCACGGGGCCAGAGCTTGACAGGAATCAGTGGTGACACAGCCGTGCACAGCAGTGGGGGATGCTGCAGCTGCTGTGGGGGCTGCACCTCCCCAGATGGATTCAGCTGCACCCCAGGCTGGCCGAGCCCCTCACCAGGCTCCTGCCAGGTGCTGGGCACAAGTCCTTGCCTGCCCAAGGAGATGCCTTACACTTGCTGTGCATGGGATGGGTGGTCTGGGCAGGATCCGGCCCCAGGTCATGGTCTGGCACTGCTCCGGGACCGGTTGCTGCTGGTGACTGGGACTGAAGGCCGGCTGGAAGAGCTCAGCTCCTCTCCCGTGCACAGCAACTCCCTCCGGTTGGGTTTCCTTGGGTCATCTCTGAGGGCAAACCGGGGAGGTGGGAGACCCCATCTCTGCACATTCTCCCCCAAGCCCTGGTGACTGCCAGCCACCCTGATGTGGTCCACAGGAGGAGGAAGGTCAGCCAAGGGCTTTGGTCCAACCTTGTCTCTCATGAGCATCCCTCAAGGGCGAGAGAAAAATCCATCACACCTAATGTCATTCCACAAGAGAAGGGCAGGAGTAGCCCCAAATATCCCCTTTTCTCTGAGAACAAGACACTGGACACATCTCTCTTGCACTGCGATGCCTACCAGGTTTGGACCGTGGCTTCTCACAGCAAAACCTTCACACACAGATGCATCATCTTGCCACAGGTGAGCTTCACCCCTGGATGGGATGAGGAGCTAAAGCTGCTTACAGGAAACCCCTTGTCTTCCAGGGACATGGATGAGCTTGAACAACGGTGTCCATAAGAGTGATCAGAGCTGGGATTTGCCCCCAGCCCCACTGGTATAGCAGGGTCCAACCTCAGCTGAAGTCCTCTGCACGTGGAGAGACTTCACCCACTGCCCCAGGACTTCGGTCCAAGCATGGTGGAGATGTGGTGACCAAGGCTGTGATGACATCCCAACCGGCCATCACATCCCAGCAGCCTTCTGCCCCAGCACGGACCTGGCACCCCGCAAGGGTTAAGAGCCATGGAGGCGGTGAGGAGAAAACGTTCTTCTGATTTGCTTAATGAACGTTAATTAAGAAGACAGAAGATAGCAGATTCCTTCAGGGTAGAGATGAAAGGCCCGTTAATTAAATCCAGAGAGAGAGTGCAGGGCCAACTGATCCTCCTGCTGATCAGACCTGACAAGGCAGGCACGGGGCGGGAGCGAGGTGTGCCACAGCCCACAGCCCCCTTCTCCCACAGCCAGGCTCAAAGCCAGCAGCACAGCCAGGTTTCAACAGGGTGCTTGGGCATGGGACTGGGTGCCATCACCCACTTACCTGCCTCCACCACCCACAAGGCCGAGAGTGGCCCCATCCCATGGTGCTGGGGTGGGAACTGGGTTGGTACCCCTGACTCTGGCTGCACCCCGGACTGGTACTGCGAGATGGGCACACACTTGGTTTCCAGCAGAACCTTCCCCAGAGGGGATGAGCTGCCCTTACTGTAGTGCTGGGTAAGATGAGGCCTCTCTTGGCCAGCTCCATCCTGAGGAAGAGGAGAAGGAGGTTTGGTCACCCAGTTCA